AGCCACAATTACTGGAAATTTTAGGGTATAACCCTGGGCCCTGGCAGCCTTAACAAAGTAATCTCCACCACCTGTCTTCAAGGCCAATTAAAGAGACAAGTGACAGTGAAAAGCAGAGAAAGGAGATTTATTCTACATGACGACATTGGAAAAAAAGAACAAATAAAGTGGTCCAGTCCATTTTCTATGGCACTGACAAGAGGTTTAGATTTATAAAGAGGGGCAGAAGCATGCATAACTAAGCAGTCCTGGTCAAGGTAGGGTCCTGTCCCTCACTGACCCAAGTGATTCAGCTCCAGTCTCTCCTACAAGGTCGGGCAACTTAGCAGACTGAAATCTTTTCCTGGGAGACAAGCTCATCCTCTGTCTGGCTGGAACAAGGCTCCGGCATTTTCCTTCTCCCAGCATGAGATTCCTGGGGGGAGTCCAATTTCTTTGGGTCCATTGGGTCAATAATCTGATAGTACATGTCCCTGTCTCTTTCAAATATCTTCCCTCTTTCCAGGAGTGTTACCCTACCACTTTTGTAGCATGCCCGTTTGACTTTAGTAAATAGTGTCCTGGAAGAGGAGGCCAAGTTTCTTATCCAAGCCTAAGACCTCGCAGGGTGACTTTGCAATTCATTAACTTTTTGAGCCTCCTTTTTCTCAGCTGTCAAGTGGAGGAGTTGGATTCTAACTCTTCTGGCTTTCTAGCCCAGTGCCCTGCCCCAACTGCTTTTCTAACTGCCAGTTCCTGGTACCTTGAGTCCAGCTGGGTATAGAATTATCCAGCTTTCTTATCTCTCCTTGATTTGTTTCTGTTTTGGCCTTCCCTCCCCCAGAGATAAATATCCAAGGGGGTGGGGTTAAGAAAGGGGAGATCTGGAATAGACACTTCTGGTGTTTTCTTAAGATTCTCAGATAGTGAGTTTCTTTGGGGCCTCAGGGGAATCACACCTTTCCTCTAAAGGAGAGAGTCCCCTCTACTTCTCTTTGTGGCAGGAATTAACTCTTGATTTACTCTCGTATGAGTTAATGCCCTTTGGAATGAGCGCCCTACGCTCTAGCTTTTCTCTTTGCTGAACTTCTGCCCCAGCACCAACTACGACATACAGAAGCCACACTCCTTGCCCAAGATTTTATGATGTATCCTATGCTACCAGGATCTGATGGGATTTACCTATAAGTTATCAATTAGTATCATTATTATTATTAATTATTTTGTCTCAGAATTTCTCTTGGGTGCTGCCCATGGCTTCACTACTGCTGTCTGTATGGAAATACTCCGTGGGAGGTGATGGAACTCTTGACATATTCAGAGAAGTGCTTTGAGATGCAGTTCTGAAGTGGAATTGTGAGAGTGAGAAATGGCAGATACGCTCACAAGCACAGACAGCATCCTTAGACTAGAACCAAGTCTTATTTTAGCATTTATTTATTTATTGGCGGGTGAGGGGAAGGGCATTCCACAGCACCTGTGTGGAGGTCAGAGGACAACTTGCAGGAATGAGTTCATTCCCACCTCCATGTGGGTTCCTGGGATCGAACTCAGGTCTTCAGACTTGGTGACAAGCACCTTTCCCGACTGATCCATCTTGCCAGCCCTAGAATAGGATCAATTTTTGATGGAGACTTGAGAGGAGGGAAGTGAGCAAGAAGCCTGAAGCCAAGTGCCATTCAACAAGTAACTAAAAAGCCACACTAGCTTGCTTTAGTCTCCAGCAGGACTGAAGCATTTCACTTGAATTCACTTACCTCATCTTCATGATAAACTCAACTATTCCCAACTTCAGCCTTTTTCTCACTATTGGGGTGAGAAGCATAAGGCGTACAAGGGGAAAGTACTCAGTACAACAATTCATACCCCAAACCCCAAGAGTCCATTAAAATGGGGGGAAAACTAGATTATCTTCAGAACTTCTTGCACAGCAGAACCAGGCCCAGCAAGGACACTGAGCAAGAAGGCTAAGGTAGCTCAAACCAAGAAGCTCCAGTTCTCTTTCCATCTCTGACACCAATCATGTAACTTTTGGGAAAAGGATAAGCTGACCTCACCAGATCTGTGCCCTCATCTGTAAAACAGAGCTCTAGGCCCACACAATCTCTACAGCTCTCTGAGCTATAATCTCCTGTTTAGATAGGAGAGTGACTAGGTGTAGACATCAGCTGTCTGTAGCTTACACAGAGGTTAAATAACTTAGTCCTGTTCAGAAAGGCTGAGAATATCTACCAAGGGCATAAATGAGTATCATCCTAGCACTGGGGTCCTTGTACACCAACAGCTGGGTCAAGTTCTTCCTAAATCCTGATCTCTTTGAGCATTGGGAAGACTGGAGAAGAGTTATAGGCAATGGAGCAGGAGAACTCATCCACACTGCCAACTTCTGCATGGCTGAGGGGGCTCTGAGGTTCTCCAAGGAACATCTCCTAGGCTCATGTGCAAACATGAGCATGCTACTTGACAAGCAGTGGGAAGGTTACTGGGACAGAAAACAAAGCACATCCAGCAGACTCACCCAGGGATTTCTATCTGCCTCTAATCAAGCGTGGCCCAGCCCTCCACTCAGTGCCTCATGGTGTTCCAGGACTTGGAAGTGGCCCAACTTCGAACGCCTCCAGCTGATTTTGGCTGATCAGTCTGCAGCCTCTGCCCATCTACTGTTTTCTGTTTTTCTTTGTTCCCTTCTTTGAAGCCAGTATAACTGCATTGCTATTGACCCTCAGCCCCCATAGGACAGTCCCAACCCTGTCACTTCTGATTTCATCTAGGGGCTTATTTCCCAGTCATTCCCAGTTATTGAAAGGACCCTGGAGAACAGGACAGACCCGAGCCACCAGCTTTTTAAATCCACCTACCTCTCTAACCCAGTACAATGCTGGTGAAGTCCTTTCCCTGAGATCATCTTGGTACGAAGGACCAGAATCTAGTCTTCAAACTTTATGACCTTTCTTTAAAATGACAAAACACCCAAAAGATGGAGGAAGAAAAATAGAGATTTTAGCATCACAGCACAGTCTTTAATGGGTCTAAAAACTGGGATAGGATGTTGCCTGATTTTATCTTTTTGCACTTGAATTTTTCATTGGTAGAAGAAACCCAATGCTTCCTAGACTATAACTGCTAAGTAAAACCTTCACCTGAAACAAAAACTCCTAGTTCCCTTCTGATTTCCTTTACTACTTCCCTGTGGACGTCACAGACCATATCTCTGAAGCACTTCAATACTGTCCTTGAAGACCATCACAAAGTTCCTTGGGGACCAGTATTTGTGGCTCTATCTCCCTTCTTTAAGTTAAGTAGTTCCATTAAAAGGAGATTGGCTAACCATCTGTAGTGATGTGTCTATAGTCCCAGCACTCAAGAGGCAGAGGCAGGAGGATTTCTTGAGTACAAGAGGTTGAGAGTCATCTTAAAAATAAGTAAAACAAAGAAGAAGGAGAAGGAGATGGGGAAGGAGGAGAGGAGGAGGAGGAGGAGGAAGAAGAAGAAGAAGAAGAAGAAGAAGAAGAAGAAGAAGAAGAAGAAAGAGTGAGAGAGAGAGAGAGAGAGAGAGAGAGAGAGAGAGAGAGCTCTTGCCTAACAGTAGTAGAACTGGACCCCTTTCAAACTCCTGACCAGAGGCAGAGCCTCCCCATACACTGGCACTCCACAGTAGAGAACAGCACACAATGCAAGTTCTGTGGTTTCAGTCACAGTCCACGGGGAGATGATTAAATGCATGTCCGTTTTAAAGAAATGAAAAGCATGAGGCTGAAAGAGCAAGTCCACATTTCTGGAGAAGAAAACAGGGGGCAAGAGGCCAAAGAAAAAGAGCCCCTAAGTCCACAAATATGTTATGGTGTGAAATAAAGTCACAAGCATGCTCCAGCCAACCAACAGTCCTTTGTACTGTAAATGATTCCCCACCGCAGTGACACTAAGTGCATCCAGACATTTAAATGGTATATGAGAGGGGTCAGTTTTACTTTTTCTGATGCCTGCCATGGGTTTTCTGCATGCTTAGGAGGGGACAGGCATGCAGGACCGGTAGTCTTCAGAGCCTTTGAAAGGCTTCCAGGAATATCAGCACGGACTGCCTGCCCACTCTTTGCTCAATGTCTACTTTAGCTGTCTGCTGAGGACTGAATGTGCCAAACAGGCCTTCATACAAAGAGAGTGTTCTGAGCCCATGAAAGGAAAGCACAGCCTTTTAGATGTGAATGATGAGATTCAAGAAGTAGATGACTAAGTAGCAGAGTGAGGAAGGGCCCTCCGAGAGATAGGAGAGAGACCAGAGAAAGAGTTGTCATCTACCTATGTGTGGATGCATTCCTGGTACCTCTCACTGTCAGATCTGGAAAGAAAGACCACTGTCACAGGGTGTCCCTGCTTAATTATCATAGTATACCCATATGCTTTTACTTGTGGGTTCTTCCTGTATCCAAGGGCCTCTTAATCATAAAAGATATTTTAAGCCCTGCCAAGGTTCGATTAAGTGTACTTCTGTTTACATTTCAATGCTGAATATAAATTCTGTTTGTAATGTGTGTCATTTAGGATTTTTTTTTTTTACATTTTCTGTCTGTGGTATATGAAAAACAGGAGAGAGAAGGGGGAGATTGAGAGAGAGAGAGAGAGAGAGAGAGAGAGAGAGATCCATTGTGGTACATCTGAACAGCTTAGGATATTTTCCTCCTCAAGCTCACTCTGAAAAAGTTAGACAAATGCTTTGCATAGTGACCCCTTCCCAGCTCTTTAGCACGGCTAGCCTAATTCTTGGCAAAGCATCCACCACTGGAGGAAAGATCTCCCCTGGGTTTTAAGCTTTCTGAGGAGGCAGTCTGATGTCACTGGTGGCAGGCACAATATGGATGTATCTGTCTTTTGTCTAAACCATCTGTTTTTCTTCTTATAGGCTATTGTTCAGACTTCTTCTCTTTTTCCAGGAACTGTGTCTGTCCCTAACAGCATGGGCTATATAGGTGTTAAAGAGACTGACCTAACATTCTAACGTGATTTCTCTTTTCTTTCCTTCCTAGAATCTTATGGCAAGGGCCTTATATGACAATGTCCCTGAGTGTGCTGAGGAGCTGGCCTTCCGCAAAGGAGACATCTTAACTGTCATAGAGCAGAACACTGGGGGACTAGAAGGATGGTGGCTGTGTTCCCTGCATGGCAGGCAAGGTATTGTCCCAGGCAACCGGGTGAAGCTTCTGATTGGTCCAGTTCAAGAGCCCTCTTCCAGTCATGAGCAGCTTGCTGGACCCACGCATCAGACCTTCGCCCAACAGAAACTCTATCAAGTGCCAAACTCACAAGCAGCATCTCGTGATACCATCTACCAAGTGCCACCTTCCTACCAGAATCAGGGAATTTACCAAGTACCCACTGGCCATGGTACCCAAGAACAAGATGTGTATCAAGTGCCACCATCAATGCAAAGAAACATTGGAGGCACTAATGGGCCCCACTTAAGTAAAAAGGTAAGTGACTAACTAGAATTTTTATTCCTAGTTTTCCCCCATTCATTGTATTTGCAGTCATAGAAACAATCCCGAAAAATAATTAGAAACTGCCCCAAAGGTAGCATACTAAATGACCCCAGACATCTTTTTTGTATCATTGGATTACTTTTCCATTCATCAGTCAACAACAAAATGTTTTTGAGAGACAGTCTCACAACGTTCATCCCAGGCTGGCCTTGAACTTAAGATTCTCTTGCCTCAGCCTCCTGAGTACTGGGATTACTGGCATGTGCTACCATACCCAACAACAAAACTTTCTTGAACTACCATGTGTCAAGCACTATTGACCCACAGCCATTGTAAGTTATAAGTCATTCTAGAGCAGACGTGGTCATAAAATTATATCTCTTCATTTGTCTGATAGGTCTGCTTCTAGACCTGGGTTCTGTGCCTAGATGGGGTCCAGTCTTCTTCTTCCTTAAGTGGTATAAGCACCAGATGTTACTCAGTTACAATGATACTGCAAGAATCTTTTCCCTTGTCCAAAAGCTAAATCATGACTTTATCAGCCTGTAAATAGATCATGTCTACCAAGTCATTCATTATAGATTGCAGGCTTAAAGATTGATTCATTTAAAACACATAGATACTAGTGGGTTTCAAAGACCCCGCCCTCAGTGTCTTTGAAATAATTCCTGTAGAAAAGGCCAAAGCAGGGGGTGAACACAGCAGAGCTTGGATGTTATTTAGCAAAACATCAAGTTTCTTCTAAAAATACAAGAAGCAAGTAATGTATTCATCAGCTTTCCATCATTATAACTAAATACCAGAGACAGCTAACTTTTATAAAGAAAGAACCTTTATTATTAAGATCAGAGTTTTAGTGGCTCCAAGTCCTGTCACTGGCATCTGCTCAGCTGTGACAAAGGCTGTCTCAGCTGTCATTGCATCATGACAGAGGTGCACATGTGTGCGTCTGTTTGTGTGTATGTGTGTGTGTGTGTGTGTGTGTTTACATGTATAAGGCCTTATGTTATCACACAGAAAGTCATAAAGGTGATTAGCATCCCACAATCTCTTCTGAGGGTTCCATTGTGGGCGGGGAGCTTTTCAACACCTGTTATAACCCCAAACCAGAATGATTCAAGATGAATAGAAATGCACTCATGAAGTGCTGAATATTGAACATCATATATATTTTTGATGCTGGTGATACAGGGATGAATTAAAGACTAAGTAAATCGCTCACAATGCTGATACTTCAGGGAAGGAAGCAGTAAAATACAATAAGGGCAGATGGGTGTATGTGCTGGGAAGAAACCAATGACACTGCACTTAGGGGACAGCAACAAAAGCATGGTGACACTTGTGTGCCTGTTACAAGGGAAAGATTTCCTTTTTCGTTTGTCAAATTCCACTGGGCCTTTCAAGGTTTGGGTACTGGCAATAGACTTATTTAATACAGCAAGGAAATATCTCCAAAGTATAAGAGAAAAGATGAAGTGAAATACTAGAAGATCTGTGACTCTTAAAGAGTACAAAATAGGGCTGGAGAGATTGCTCAGCAGTTAAGTCACTGGCTGCTCTTGCAGAGGACCCAGGTTCGATTCCCAGTACCCACATGGTGGCTAAGAACCATCCATCACTCCAGCTCCAGGGAAACTCTCTTCTGACCTCCTTGAGCATTACACAACATACATGACACAGGTGTATGGCAATATACTCATACACATAAAAAAAAATTTAAAGGATACAAAATGTAGATAATATAGATTATACCTCACTCACCTCAAGAAATTCTACAAACTTATATAAATTAGGTAATATATTTGCATGATATCACCATCTTTTTCTCTTTAAATACATCTATTTTTTTAAAAGGGGCCAGAGAGGGTAAGATTTACTGTTGGATTCCTTAAAATAATACAGGAATGCATTTCTTAATCAACTTTTATGCAAAAAGCATGTTTTAACAAAACATATCTCAAGGTCACATAATCCAAGTTAGGGCTATCAGGAAGAAACCTCAAAGAAGTGATGAAAAGCTTTCGACTTATACGCCCCAGCTCAGGGATCCTGGCTAGAGGCCACAGAGGAGCCCTGTGACCTTCCAAAGTCCTTCTCACCCCAGTGGCTTCACATCTAAGAGAGAAAGCCAAGCCTGGCCTCTGTCCCCAGAGGAGAAAAGAACAGTTGAAAGGTGTAACTATAAATAAGTAACTTCTCTCTTCTTAGCCTTGGTTGCTTGCACCTTAAAAATAGCTCTCCCTCATCTGAGCTGGTTGGAGGCAGACAAAGGAGGCCAGAACAGGAAATGCTTGGTTGAAAGGTAGTCGGCTCAGACTTTCTTCACAGTTTCTTTTGGCAGGAAGGTGACATGTTTTCCTTTGTAGACATTTTCAGCTCCAAGTCCGGGAAGCCTGAGGCTTCAGACCCCTCCCTGTTGCTTGTGCTGGAGCTAAGGACAGCCTTCCCCTGGGCTCTCCTCTGCCAGAAGGCAGAAGCTGGGATTCCCCGCCCCTCCACTGATGTCAGGGGCTGAGGTCCTCAGGTGCCTCTGGCTCACTCAAATTCCTTCTGTTGTTTTGTGACTTCCACACTCCAGAGCATTTTGTGTTTAGCAGAAAGTCAAGCAAGCCCTGCAAAGGCAAACCAGCTTCTAAAAAGAACGCCTGCGGCCCCATTGGAGTGCCGACCAACACGGGCGCTGCTTGTGCAGTGGGGGCCCTGAGTGGAATGGCCAGGATGGAACGGGCAGGAGCGATGAGCGTAGCCCTTCCCTGCCAAGTACCAGTATCCTCCATAACACCCTGACGAAGCTCCTCTTTGTCTTCATTGTTTCTCCATTGCCTCCTCCTTCCCTTCCTTCTCTTCTTGTTCTGTCTTCCTCCCTCCCTCCCTCCCTCCCTCTCCCTCACCATCCATCTGGCTCCCCCTCTCCTTTCTCCCTTCCTTCCTTCCCTTCTTGTTCTTTGTATTCTCTCCTGCCTCCTCACTCTCCCTTCCTCGCCTCCTTTCCTTCCCCTTCCCACTCCTCTTCCCCTGCCATCCCTCCCTCCTTCCTTGTCTTGCTCTTTCCTTCCATCCTTCTGTCTCTCACTCTTTCTCTTGTTCTATCTCCTGTCTTCATCCTCCTTCCTCCCTCCCTCCGTTCTTCATTTCTTCCTTGCCTTCTAACTCTCTTTCCTAGTGTAGTCTTCTACAAGGTGATTGCAGCTACTATTGCAGAGTACTAGTAACCACTTTAAGGAGTTCAGGCAACATCTCCCTCTTAATGAATAGGAATTCTACTAATAAGTCAGACTCTGATGGCAGTGCACAGGGTATCAGATGTGGATCTTGTCGTTAATTATTAGTTCTCCTTTTAGAAGTTTTACTAGCTTGCTAAATAATTTGCTCATTTTCCCTTTTAATTTCCCGTCAGTAAAATGGTGGTAAACCAAGGACTCAATGTTCCTGGTAATTTAAACTATGGTCTTTAAAAGCTGTTGGAGAAAAATGAGGAGGCAGTGGAAACTTGTGTTCTGAGTCACTGAAGCACAGTTTGCAAACTTTAATGAACAAGACAGTCACCCAGAGACAGAGGGACGGCCAGTCAGATGCAGATTCCCAGGTCTGTCTCACAGACCCTCTTCCAGTAGGTCTGAATGGGGGCCCAGAACCTGCATTTTCTCAAGCTTCTCACATCATCCAGTGGGAGGTGGCCCTGGATTACACTCTGAAAAGCACTAAAAGGGACCGTGGAGGACTTGGATGTGTTCCAATCTGATTGTGATTGGTACTTTCCACAGTTCAGAATTCTCTCCGTGTTACATAGACTGTGGGCTGCTGAAGTTTTTATCCACCACAGTGTTCTATGAATCACTTAAGAAAAAAAATACAACACAGTGAATTCTGCCTTTTGCCTTCCTGCTCTTCCCGGAACCCCAGCCTCCACATGTCCTCCTGCATCCAATCTACATTAACCAACAGCATCGCTTAGCTCAGCCTGGAGAGACCTTGAGCTTCTGACCTCCTGTCTCCACCTCCCCAGTACTGAGATTACAGGTATCCACACCTACACATACTCCTCAAACTTCATTTTAAACGTATCTCAGCACATACCAAACATGCACATACTATATTTGCAGCAGCACATATGCTGAACCCTTTGAGTACATGGGTCTCTCTGTGGTTCTACAAGAATTCTGCAGAGGGTGCCGAAGAGCCAACATTATCTGGAAACCTTCTGCACTGACAGCTTTGCTTAGTTTCGTTGGTCTTCACTCTGGGTTTTCTGTGTAGGGCTGTTTTATTCATCAGATACTGTAGGCAGAATGCCCAGGGTCTGTGCAAAAGTTTGAAAGCTGAATTTAAAAACTTTTAGCTGTGAAATATGACACATAAAACTACAAAATAGAAGTTAATCAACACTTAGAAAAATAACTAGGAAATGGCATCATGCAAACCTCATTAAATGTATTCTGGACTCATAACTATTCCATTACATTTGAAAACAATTTGTAAGTTAGATCTTTTTCACTTTGCAAAGATTTCTAAATATGTGTTGGAATTGCCAAGAACTCACAGGCAATTCTAAATTAAACAAGTTATTCATAGTCAAATTATTTGAAAAGCTGAATTTTTTTAATGTTTTTAGTGTTTTAAAGGGAAAATTCTACATAATTTGAGAGTTTGATATGGATTGGAGAGTCCAAATGCCCCAAAGCCAAAGGTCTGAAAACAGCCTCATTTCTGTGTTCCACAGGTCATCAAACCGCCATGGGACACACCCATTTCACACTCAAGGGGGAACAATATTTTGCTGATTATTCTTTTTTTTTAATAAAAAAAGCTATTTATTTACTTATTTTGGTGGACGTTTTACAAGTATATATTTTCTGTGTGTGTATATGTGTAGGTTCATATGTACACCTTTAGTCAGTGGACAGCTTGAGGGAATTAGTTCTCTCCTTCCGCCATGTGGGTTCCTGGGCTCGAACTCAAGTCACTAGACTTTTGTCTGCGAATACCTTTAC